AAAAAGGTGTTAAACGTGAAGAGGACTCTGCTTAAAGCCAGAGAACAGCTGATGTGGCAGGTTCTTAAATAAACAAACAAATTCATATATGTTGGAGCATCCAACCACCTCTCACGCTACCACCTGGCGCCTTTGGCTAACAGCTACCTGAGCCTGTTGGTGGCTCCATGAAAATATAGGGGTGTCATTCTGGATAAAAATATTAAACTCCGCTACTAAACTCAGAGTGATACTTGGTGTCAAATCCTAAGCATGGAAGCCCCAATGAGACAGAGAGAGCCGCCGCATCTGTGGCCACACCCACCCTGTACACCCACCTGTCCCACAGCCTCAGTCCAAGACCCTTAGCTTTAACAGTGCCGAAAGCCAGCCGACCAATAAACAAGCGCTTTGAAGGGTCCCCTGGAAAAATGAGTCACATGACGCGGCCGCATACCGCTGACACCACAAATTTTGTAGCAGCTGGATTGACGCTAGATTGGTGTCCAATCTCGCTATGAGGGCGGTGGCCAGGGGGGTAACGGTCAACGTAAAGCGGCCGACATCGCGCAGCGAGAAGCTTGCGACGTGAACAATGTATAAAGACGGTGTTTGTTATGAGTTAGAGATTAAGTCACCGGCAGTCTTGCGTGGGGTCAGACTCCCATCATCGTACAGGTGGGGGGAAAACGCCAGAAGTCCTTCCCCGTATTCACTCGGGTTAATTCACCTTCCACGCCCCCCCCCCCTCCTTATCAGGACTCCCACAAACTCCTCTTCCCCCCTTCCTGACGCTCCCTCGCTCTCAAGCCTTCAGCTCCGTCTCCCCTTGTGTGATTCGCTCCTTTCCTGACAGCCCGAGACATTCCTCCCCCCCCCTCTCCCTCATAACCCGTCCTTTCTCGTTCTCCCTCCCTGTCAAGTTGTTTCCTATCCTACCTGCACCCACCCCCCCGACCTCGCACCCCTCCCTCACTCTTGACAGCTGGCTGAACGTACGAGTGCCATCGCCGGCGTGGGGAGGAGATGCTTAGTTCTGCACCCGTAACATGATCTCTTGTACTGCGGGGCTTTGATCATTTATTTATTTATCTATCATCAGCGGGTGCATTCAGGCCCCTCCCACCTCCATTTTCATGCCCCAGGTTATGGTTCACATTCGGCAGCCTGACAACTAAATCCAACAGCTAGCGGGATCTGCATTCGATCTCGCATTCAAACTGCGTGCTGCCGTGAGATACAAAGCCTCCTCTCCCTTTTTTATTTCTTATCCCCCCCCCCCACAATAAAGTACAAAGTTTTAAGAGCTGCAGCTTCAAAGGGAGAAATGAGACTAGAGGAGGGGGAAAAAAAGGTGGAGAAGATGGACAGATAGTGGAATGGAGATAAAGCGATGAAGGGATCGTAAAAGGCAAGGGATGACAGGATTAGGGTGCAAGCTACAGGGATGAAAGTATGAATAGGGGATGATCAGGGGATTAACAACACGGGCTGAACGCTCATAGAGACAAAGAGACATGGCCGACATATGTACCGAGTTATGGGTGGTGAGTACACACACGCACGCGCACACGCACGCGCACACACGCACACACACACACACACACACACACACACACACACACACACAGGAGTCATGTGTGCCACAATCTTCTGCTTTGAGTGCGATGGAGAAAATGAGGACTGGCCCGCAGAGTTGTGAGGATGCCTATTGTTCTCCAGAACCTTAGGGCCATAGCGGAGGTGTGTCTGTGTGTGTGTGTGTGTGTGTGTGTGTGTGGGGGGGGTCTAGTGAGTGAGCCACGGTCTCGCTAAACTCAAGAGAGACCCCCGCAACATGAACACACCCACACTCACTGATCCCACTGATACTGATATTACTCCCTGATGAAATTATTCACTTATGTAACCGTCATGTCATACGGTACCAAGATTCATTTTTAAAAATGTAAAGAACTTAAACTTTCTCAGTGGTTGTCTTACGCTGCTATTCTGTCAGCCAGTCTATGAAACTGCGCTACTTCTCTAAGAAAAACAATTGCTGGTAGAATGTGCATATGAGACAAAGATCCACATCTGGCTCTGTGCACCCCGGTGTGAGAATGGCCTAAAACTCAGCACTGCACTCCTGTGGCAGGACCACGTCACTGCAAAACTGATGCACAGAGGCAGAAACACTGACGGAGGGGGGGGGGGAAACCACACTGGAACAGACAGAATGAATGAGTGTGAAGCTAATAAAAGCTAACAGAACCACACTGATAAGCGCTCTGACCTACCTGACTGTGAGGTGGGTATCCATGGAAACCAGGAGTCAAGGGGTCATTGTTCTATAGAGAAAGGTAAGGCCTTGTTAAGAAAGCATTTTATTTTTATTTTTTACACCAATGCTATTTTTGTTATAATAGGGCCAGTTTCCAGGTATACATCTTAGAAGTCGGCCCTTCAAAATGTTAGATTCACAAGAAAAAGTAAAGAGTAGAGAAAGACAGAAGAAAAAAAATCTTTCAAGGCTAATACAAGGAAGACACACAGGGAACAAGCTCAGCAATGCGGGGCAGCATCTGTGCAGTGATCAGTCAGCCCTCATTTCTCTGGGCTGTTCCTCTGAATCCCTCAGCCAAGCGTGAACTCTTTAGCTAGCTGATGCACCATTTTTTTTCCCTTTTGCCCTTCCCATCAGGCAAAGAAACGCCGGCTCTCGCACACGTGCGCCACCCCATAGCTGACCTAGAACCGAACATCTCTGCCAACTGTTCTGTAATTATTTTTTAATTAGATTATTCTCTCTCCGCGCCCCGTTACTGCTCGGGACTGCTGGCGCGCTGACAGTGCGTGACTTATTTGAGACACATCCCAACACAATCAATGATCTTTCTAAGACCGCAGTTGACCCCTTTACAACAAACAAACCTAATTACTGAAAGTTAAACTGCCCAAAGAGACCAAGGACTCTCCGAATGGCTGGGAGAATCAGGGGTGTTGCATGCGACGGCTATCATGCGATCTGCATGCCAATAAGGAGATTCACACGCGGTTGTTTTCTGTGCCGGCACTCGGGGGCTTCTATAGCACATGGAGTAGCCAGTCTGCTCACAAAGGGAGCCAAACACCGGCTCACGGCCCAACCCCCCCCCACCCCCCACAGGAAATCACTTCAATTCCCCTTGTCATTTTTCTCTCAGCCAATCAGAGAGGAGGACACTCAAGGATGCAATGGCGACAGCAGGAAGGAGGCAGAGAGAGAGAGAGGCGCACAGACACAGTAAATGGAATGTCACATAACTTATAAATGGATCATGAGTGAAAAAGGCAGGTACAAGAAGGGAAGAAGCGAAACAACAACTAAATATATAAAGAAAAGGAGGTAATGGACAGAAGCAGAAGGAGCAGAATGAGACACACAGGGAAGTGGACTCATTCCTCAGGAAGGAAAATTATGCGTCACGACTGAAGTCATTTTTAGAAGCTAAAAAGTACTCCACGCTCCACGTGTTTTGTAACCAAAAAACTGCCAGATTTAAACTCTTGTGGTGACCCAGCCCTTTCCACAGCTCTCTGGCAGTCCCGCACAAACAGCAATCTCTTTGTCTCCCCTCCACATTTCCTGTTTCATCTGGAACCGATTTCACCCTTGTGCATCGTCCCCCTGGGGAACAGTCGTCAGCGCGCAGCTTAAAGGGAGAGTGAGCAAAGTGACTAGTAAAAAAAGTTAAAAAATAAAGGATATACGATACAAAGTTAGACCCCACGACACCCCCACCAAAGGCGCACCCTCAGTAAGACCTCCACACAGAAAATCAGCTTTGTTTCTGCCTGCAGAGATTATCGCCATCATCTGCCTAGCTGTGATTAAACACCCCCGGGGGTGAGAGACGCTGGCCTGGAATATAATATCGCAAAGATTCACCAAAGCAGCTTAGTCACAGGGCAGCAGGATCCCCTCACACTCCTGGACACTCCGTTACTCACAGGGAAACTTAAAGAAGAAAGCAAAAAAATAAAAAAGGAAAAAAGTGTCCCTCATTTTCCCTATTTTTTGGAAATGAAACGTGTAACAAAAGAAAAAAATACATCATGGGAGAGGATGGTTTGAAAAGAGTATGAGGGTGCAATTGTACAGCTGGGGTGCAGGCAGGCGGAGAGCGAACAAAAATGGAGGAAGCATGTAGGTAAGTAAATATAACCAGGAGTGAGAGAGTAACGAGGGACCATCCTCATCCAGAAAGTAAGGGACCGGACCATCCTCATCCAGAAAGTAAGGGACCGGACCATCCTCATCCAGAAAGTNAGGGACCGGACCATCCTCATCCAGAAAGTGAGGGACCGGACCATCCTCATCCAGAAAGTAAGGGACCGGACCATCATCATCCAGAAAGTAAGGGAAATCACAGTCTGCTCACACACCTATCAGATGTAGCTGGAGTCTGGATCTAATCTATTGAAGACTTGGTTAGAATCCCAGGCATTTCACAATGTATCAAAAACACCCTGAATACACCCAACTCCACCTGCAACTGCTTATCATCAGGGTCAAGGGTGCCATAGCAATATTTATGCTCAAAGTTCAATAGCATTCATTAAACAGGGGGACCAGAGCAAGCAGCAGGGTGTCTGATACACTACAAAGAATGAAAGGGGGAAAAAAACACTCCAAATTTGACATGTCAGCAAGAATAACATGACCAAGAAAGGCAGTGGCGGATTGGCTGCGCTGTAGCGGTGCCGTGAAGTCCGGCCATCGCTGGCTCCATCTCGGCACGGACAGAGAAGCAGAACCCAGGATCGGTCCCCCCTCCCCCGCCAGAGACCGGCCTGGTTAATGCCCTCCCCTAAATGAGCTTTGATCTTGTTAGTCCAACACAAAGCCGCTTTACCGCCAACGATAGGGAAAATGGGCTCTGGGAGGGAGGGAGCGGCCAGGGGGGGGGAGGGGTGGTAAAGTAAACACTGTACACTCTGGACCACGCAGAGCAGCTAAGTGCATCGATACTGTACAGGGTGACGGGCGCAGATGGAGCGGGCAGGGGCAGAGCATTTCATTGGATAAAAGAGAATCTGTTCACTAGCAGTCAATTAACAATTGGGAAACTGGCCTTAGGGGCAGGAGAGGGGGGCATTTCAGGGGATGCAGAGAGAGTACTGGGGAGGAAGCAGGAAGAACAGTGCTGCGGACATTCTCCTGCCCATGTGGCCTCACCTGCCCCCCTTCCCACCCCCGCCTGCATCAGGCCCAATCAGCCTCCAGCTTGCTCGTCGAACCTCGAGGGTGTTTCTGGGGGAACTGGGCGAACCTCTCAATCGGCAGCCGTGACCTTTCCTAACCCCCCCCCCCCACACACACACACACACACACACACACACACTTCCTTGCCATCACCGTTCCCCCACCATCTGCATCGTCCTCCACACGGTGACTTCACCGGCTGCAGACCCATGTGGCAGGCATGTGTGTTTGAGCCGCAATCCGACACCCATCCGAAAAAAAGGACAGATGGGCCACCTCTCCGTCCGGCCGATCAGTGGGGAATCCTGTGATCACCAGTCCAGCGGCACGGTCAGTGCGTATCACTCGGGCTACAACAACATGTCCTGCGACTGCAGCAGGGATGCTCAGGTTTCTGACTCCGAGGTTATCCCAAAATCCCCCGCTTCTTTTGTACCCAGAGTGGGACCCCGTCTGTTCTTTGTTTCTGACCTAGACCCCTCCCCCGCACTCCATCTCCCCCACCTCTTTTCTATCTCCTTTCACCTACATGAAATTCAGACCAAATGACTTTAAATGCCACTGGTATTCATCACTGAGACCCTTATTTATAATTTAGACTTTACTGCTGAGCCCAAGCGATGGATTTTTGTCTAAGAAAGGACCCATCCGCTTCTCGCCTTTGTTTTATTTACAGCCTTCAATGGCTAGCGATTAATTATTACACTGACTTATCAGCGACTGTATAAATACAACACACATGCCTACACGACAGAAAGCGACTGAGAAAATGTTACGATTCGTTTTGGACTCTGAGATACAGGGGCAGGCATATCAGATTACCTTTGTCTCGCTTTGGGTACAGTTATATGTAGGAATACTGCTATATCGACATATTAATGTTACCGACCGAAAGCTCCGCATATGAAGTGTAAACTTTAACAAAAACGTTAGGATCGGTTCCACAGTTATTACATCATTCTAATATAGTAACGGTCCAGATTTATACGCGTTTATACTATGGGTCAAATTTGTGTGCACAGACAACACCCGGTTATAAAAAGTGTGACTGACTAATCGGTTTCCATTGCGCGATATATCACGTTAAGGCGTCTAAATGGGTCAATTTGGATCGGGAGAGGTCGCGTTTTGACCATCTTTTATGCAACATCTCATTTTGTAGGCCCTTAACACATGAAAACCCTAATCTTTCAATATATTTTCTCGTAAAAATAGCCGGGGACCACATGAAAAGCTTCACATTGCCTGTGGCCTTGTCCTCAGTGCTGATCCATATATGATAAAGTATTGGAACAATCGCAGTAACAATGCAGCCTCTTACCTGTCCGATCTCAGCGACAGTCCCCGACCCGTCTATCCTTGGTCGCTTGCATTCAGCCCCGGCCAGTTCGGGCAGAGATACTGCGGTCGTTTGTCCGTCAGGCTCCGGATCCCCTCTTTTCATACCTCTTACAGATGCTGATCCTCCGGCCGGGTCTGCGTGACCTCCGGCTGCATTGTCAACATCCCTTTCCCGGTCCATTATTCCCCGGGATACAGGTAAAAGAATTGATGCGACGTCGGTCGACATTAACATTGAACGATAGTGTCCTCCAGATATGTATATTCTCTACCTTTCCCGTTGCCTCCTTGCCCCTTTGTATGGAAGTCCTGCTTTGAATGTGCGGAACGCTATCTAATCTCAGTACAAGTAGCCTTCCCTTTACTCGACAAAAATGGAATAATGAAAAATATTTAACACCACGAAAGCCGTAATTCCAAGTCGTGGAAACGGAAAAATATAAATTCCAGGAAAACTTGCAATGTATCGATCAGCAATGTGCGTGATTTCTTATGGCTGTGTTTGCGTGATTAAACAAAATGTGCAGCGACAGGCCGGCTAGCGACGCAAAAATACATGACCCTAAAAGATAACAAGGCATCAGAATATTGTGACACCAGAATCGAATTTAAAATACAAACATAGGCCGACGTTATGTTAATGATCAGTATGGGCCTTATTGAATTCAGGCGAAAAAAAACTTCATAAATTTGCGGGGGTAAAAACGTATAATATACTTACTACATCGGGTAATACAGCCTACTGTATTGCATATTTCACTATATATAAAGTAGCCTATAGGAAGTTATTTTGCAGATTATGTAAAAACGTAAACTATTTCGTTGTCTTCGAAAAGGCAGCTGCAAAACACATTTGCGAGAACATTTCTCTATCCTTCATTAAATCTTTCTATACACTCACAGCTAATTACTTACTACCGGGCACAAGAAAAAAAAGACCATCGCTATAAAACCAGCGTGCGATTATGCACAAATTGCCATCATTCGTCGTGTTACTGGAAGTATCCTTTCAAACACATTTTTTAAATCCACAGGACAGTCTTAAATAAGTCCAGATCGGTTCTTCTTAATTGCACATTCCGCTAACTCGATGTGGATATTTCTCTGTCTATGAACGCCACTCCAATCCTGCTACTTGATAGGATTCCTTTCTTCTTCCGTACAAAAACCTATCCCGACATAAACAAACCATTCGGTCTTATGCGACCTCCTCCTTCCTTTCTTTCTTGCGGCCCGTCTTGTCCTTTCCCAATCCGCTCCGGGTATTCTTGCGGCGTGTGCGCTGGCTGCTAGGAAAACGACTCCGTCCCTACCGTGCGCCTAATCCCCTCCTCCTTCCACCCCCCAGATGTACTCCGTCCTCTTCCCCCCTCCTCTTTCGCCTTAACGCACACCGACATGGGTGAACACACAGGCGTACGTTTTCCCTTGAATTTCACATATTCTGTTAAGGCACGTTGTTGGTCACTTATATCGCATAAAATAATATTTCAAATAACGCCACGCTGCAAGTAATTAATAGCTGGTAGGTTATAAAGTGTCATCCCATTTTGAATGTATCAAATATATGTTGTTTGATCTTAATTTCCACTCCAAACTGTATATACAATAATCGAGTGTGAGAATTCCTTCGTTTTTGGCTGTTTTCAGGAGCCTCGTTTTGGTCCAAAATACCATCGGGCAGATCATATATCCAAACGTATGGATAGAGCTAATATTGCTAACAGGCGGGGGAGGGGCAAAAAAAAAAACCATGAGCGAGGAGTGTGCAGGGTGAGTCAAAGGAAGGAGGTTTCACTCCTTTTGGAAGTCGACGATCTAACAGTAAGATGGGGGATGTGCCGCAAGCAACGCCGAAAGACCAATAAATAAGACAACAGGGTGAGAAAAGGAAACAATGCGGAACGAGCAAACCCGCGTGATTCAGCGCTACAGCGCGCCGCAGCGGCTCCGCTGACTTCGTAGTGCGGGTGCGACGCACAGCGGACGTGAACAGTAGTGTTCAGTGAAAGCCGAGCACGTCGGTAAAACGTCACGCATAAAAACAGCTGCATAACAGCCCAAAACGAGGACTACGAAACAACAATACAGCTGTTTTTAAAGGCATTAATCGTCGACACACCACAACGAAACGTATTCTCTGTATTTAACCCACATGTGACAGAGCATTGGGAAGATATTATTTAGTGCCCGGAGAGTGGTGAAGGTGTGATGCGCTAGCCTGGGATTCGAACCAGAAATCTTCCACTGCTAAGCACGCTTCCTTAACCATTAGGCCACAAGAACCCCATTTGTTTATGTATTTGTTTTCAATCAATCACTTTAATTAAAATTATTAAATTGTTAAATTAAATGTTTGTGTTTCATCTCCTAGGGGTCCTTTAATTTTATTGTCATAGGGGAAGCAAGTGGAATGGGGCAGAGAGTTTGCTCTGTGCATAAGAGTTTGAGAAGTGCATGTCTTAACTTCATCTTTTTAACGCTAAAAATGTCCAGTATAAATACATCATTTAGTTACCTGATTGTTCGATGGCATTGACATATCAAGCAATCAGTTTCATAAGATAGATGCCAGTGCTAATACCACTATTAATAATAATAATAATCATAATAATATAACACTTTTGTTAATCCCTGCGCGGAAATTCTCTTTTCGTCTACTGTATCTTCCTCTCCACATTAATTATTCTGAATTATGCTGCATGATTATGTCACTGCGCTCACATACCAATTGCACATATATAAATCAGGAAAACCTTTAATAAACCCGTCTTTTGTATACTGCACATGTGTGAGGTTTTCACGTCTCCTTCGGTGTTAGAGTCATGTATGCTGGTGGCGTTAGAGTCATGTATGCTGGTGGCGTTAGCATGACGTACGCCGGCCCCGGCTCCTTCGGTGTTAGCGTCATGTACACCGGCCCCGGCTCCATCAGTGTTAGCGTCATGTACACCGGCCCCGGCTCCTTCGGTGTTAGCGTCATGTACACCGGCCAGGGCTCCTTCGAAAGCATGTTAAAGCAGCTCATCCTGTAATAGCTTTAATGGGCCTGGACCCCATTCCAGGCTGCATTGGGTACAGGACAGGAAAACGGCCTGGATGGGATTCCAGCCACTCACATGGCACCATGCAGTGCTTCCCAACCTTTTTTATCTGCCATGGGACACTTTTCACAATTATCAGTTATCGGAGGACACGCCATAATACAAATATAGCTTTGCATTTATCTAAGCTATTTAAAAATAGGCTACATTTAAAATTTGGTTTGGATGCTGCTGCTCTGCCATGGAAACCCATTTAATGATGTTCTCTACACACTGTTCTTGAGCTAATCTTCTCACTCTCCTTTAAAATAACCATTCACAGAATTGAGAGTCATTCGTGGCTTTGAGCGAGGACCTTGTTTAAATCCACGGCCCAGTGTAGATATGTCTGTTTTGCTAATGACCTTCTGATCACAGGCACAGATGTCTAACCCACTGAGCAAGTATTTGTGCCCACATCAAGTGTTACCATATTTTGCTGATCGAAGGATGGCTGCGTGCATGATTCATAGTTTCGTTAGTGTCGTTTTCTTCCTAAAGATAGGGATTGTGGTCTCGAACCCAGCCAATAGAGTCGCGCGCTTGGGGTCCGGCCGATCTCGCAACGACTGGGTGAGTTTAAANGCCCACAGAAAATGTTTAGACAGGATGTGGATGGCAGATGTCGAATACACGGTTCATGATAAACAGGAGGGACTGTTGGGTTGAAATTGTATATACGTATATTATCACTCATGTGTATTCTGAAGAATGCATAGCTTGTTCCATGTAGCAACTGTGTAAATGCTTAACAATAATTTTCCATCACGTGCAGCAGACGAGCCCACCTCTGACACTTCTGTTGTTCCTGTTTCCACTCCCACATTCCCATTGCTTCTATCCCATTCCAAATGTTGTTCACACCAATGTAACCTGATCAGTATGTTTACCTTACAATATAAATAAACCATGTCGAGGTGCCACACCCTTGTAGCTCACACTGCAGTTGGTGTGATTACTCTTGCAGCAAGTAAAACAGCGCGTGTCTCATACTCTGTGGGCCGGAAGTCGGGGGAGCTGATCACTCTCCCCGACACTTTCTGTCAGTCATTTCTGCAGTCTGTTGATAACAAGGCTGAATACCATTACCCAGACGGTGGGAAAAGGTGTTGTGAACCAGGCAGGTACCAAGAGCAAGTAGAATTAGCGAAAATGGCACTCGACGGACGTTCCCAGCTGCATAAGTGTATTCTGTTTGTCATCAATATCGTGTTGGGCGTAAGTATTATAATTTTATTACCACTAATAGTGTTTTATTTGCACAGGTCCGCCTGTATCCATAGTATCCATAATCGTAATGCTGATACTAATTACGTTACTAATTCAACCATTATTGATCTGATAAGAGCCGGACAGGAGCACAATGAGCATCAGCATACCTGCCATCCGTGCAACAGCAATCATGTATGGTTACAAAGAGCGGTTCTGTTCTGGGGGGACATTCTGAAACGTTTAACGTGAAAAGTTTAATGTGGTTTAATGTACCAAAACAGCGACCAAAAACCACGAAATTTCTCACAGACATATCTAGCATTATGGAGCCCCTGAAGTCCCATAGAGTGACTTTTTTAATCGTGCGCGCACAAGTTAGCTATCTTTTGCGCACAAGTTGTTATTTTGAAGGAACAGGTTAGCTGCGTATAGCTGTCATGTTGTGAGAGGTTTATTTCAGCACGCCATACTAAGTTTTGCTAGACCTGGCATTAAGGTACAATAAGATACAATAGCCTTACAATTAATATTACTGGAAGGAGTAATTGCAAAGCTGCTGTTCACTACTTTGGCATTAAGGCTGAGTTATACAGTCCGTGTCAATGGTCGCGACAGAGGTGAAGTACCATTAATAATACTTTTTTCTTTTATTATCGGCAATCATAGTAATACAGGCATAAACAGATACAATCAATATGTGTCAGTAATGACAAAAAATGTTAGGGGAACTCGGTGAGGCGAACAATTCAGCAAACCGAGTAAAGTGGCAAACATATTATGTCTTGACGCAACCGAACCAAACATCAATGTCAACAATATTAAAGATGCACAAAATATAGCCTGCATGCAATTACTTGGGACCAAGTTATATAAGTTATTATTATGTAGTACTTTTGATGAATTATTCGAATATAATTAACAAATAGACGGAATATATCGTTGTGGATACTAATATTGACACTGATGTTTTGTTTTGTTACACTAGCATTTTTTATTTACTGTACCTGTTTATCACAGTGTATTATTATTATTACCGATAATGACTGAAAAAAAGATCAAAGAAAGAAAAGTATTGTTCATGTCGCTTCACCTCTGTCGCGCGCCCATAATCACACGGACTGTATAATTCAGCCTTATTGACAAAGAAAATGAGTTTGCAGTATTTTTTTAAATGGAAAATGAGTTCATGGTGTTGTTGTTGACTGTAAATGAATGCCTTTTCGGTTCGAAGTTCCATAAACAGAGGTGTAAAAAGTACTCAAAAATGTTACTCAAGTGAAAGTACAAGCAATGAGTGAAAATTTAACTCAATTAAAAGTAAAAGTATTCAGCCGGAATCACACTTGAGTAAAAGTAAAAAAGTACCGCATTAAAATTGTAGGCTACTTGAGTATTAAAAAAGTAAAAGCAAGAATGAAAACTGGAGATTCTTGTTTACGTTTTTAATCTCTAAAAACATGAAGTGAATGAACCACATATAAGGTTTTATCCTGCTTTAGAACTGTTTAGATTTAACCATTTAATTATACGACAAGGCACACCTAATGCAAATATGCAACATGCTACTCAAAGGATGCATTTAAGAAAATAATTCGCTAAGGTACGGCCACGGGTGCTCTTGACCCTGTGGCTGATTTTGGACTGCGTTCGCTACTGAATCAAATGTAATTAAGTAAAAGTAAAAGTATTAATTTTTAATTGCACTCAAGTAAAGTAAAAATCCCCAAAAATAATACTTAAGTACAGTAATCAAGTAAAATTACTCAAGTACTTTACACCTCTGCCCACAGAGTGATTTTTTTAATCGTGCGCGCAGAAGTTAGTTGTCTTATAAGAAAAGACCAGATATGTCTGCGAGAAATTTGATGATTTTTGGTCGCTATTTCGTAGCCTACACATTAAACCACATTAAACTTTTTCACGTTAAGCGTTTTAGAATGTCCCGTTCTGGGGGAGTTTCTAAGCACGTTTATTAAAGTCTACATCTGACTTTAAATTAAGTTTCTCACATTACACTCTAAATAAGTTGTTTTATGAATCTACAAGAAGAACTGAAATGCAATAATGAAATCCGTAGTTAATCCTTCTGAACTCGCAATTCGTCTATTTCGCCTTAGGTGAGTGGGCGATCTTAACTTCCACATGAGTATTAATAGCTCGTTAATATTACTGTTGAGAAAAAGTAATTATATATAGTCCTATATTATTCTTTGCGCTACCTCAGTTTAACTGAATACATGCACTTTCAAAATTTGTTTTATTTTGAGAATGAAAAT